TCTGAGGCACAGAGTATGCTGAGACATTCTGGGTGTTCCAAAGGTGAGAGGTGACCTACATGTCCTACTGCTTGCTCAAAGCCATTTTATAGGACTTGATGGGGAGACACTGCACATCCATTCCCCAGTCTGATTTTTCACATCAGCCTCCTCCCACAGGTAGAAAGCCAAAGCTGCTATATACATAGCAACAGGTTTAAACAGAGTCTGGTGGAAGTGGGGAGTGGGATGGAGTGAGTGGAAGTGTTGTTTTGACTTTTCTTTCTGCTTCCCAGATCAGTCAAAATGTCCTATCAAGCCACGTATTTTATATTTTTTGTTGCTATGGTGAATAAGATATTTCCCCCACTATATCTCCCTAATGATTATTGGTAGTATTTAGTAAAGCGTTTGGTTTATGTCTGTTTATTTTGTATTGTGATACTATTGAACAGTAACATTAAATAATAATAATTATTATTATTACTACTCATATTTATTAAATGCCATGTGCCATGTCTTTTAAGTGCTTTAAATATTTCATTTAGTTTTCATGACAAACCAGTGGAATTAGTATTCTCATCCCCCTTTTGTGGATGAGAATACTGAGGCTTATAAGGTAACGTCCCAAGTTTATTCATCTTATCAGTGGTGAAGCTGTGATTCAAACCAGTGAGATTAACCGCTGTATTATTTTAATTCTCCTATCAATTCTGGGAGTTTTTCAGTTGATTTCCTTGAGTGTAGATATTTAATCACACAGGTCACAAGTAACTTTATTTTTATATCTTTCTATCCAAGAGTCACTGCTCTTATTTTGGCTTCATGTTTTATTATATTTGCTGGAGATAGCAGAACAGTGTTAAAATGAAACAGTGAAAGTGGGCATCCTCGTTTTGTTAATGATTTAATGAAAAAACCATTACCGTTGATTTAAATTTTAAAAAATACGTTAAGGAGGTATCCTTCCATTCCTAGTTTTCTGAGTTTTTAAAAAAATCAAGAACAGGTGTTGAATTTTACAAAATTTCATTTTGGCATCTATTGAACTTATTGTATGAACACTCATGATTTTAATCCAGATTCATAACTGAGAAATGAAATAACTATAAACATGGTTCAATTTGTGCTTTTCTTTTTCCAGCAACGTCTGGAGCTTCTATTCAAAGTGACATGCAGGTGGTAGAGGCAGAAATTGTTTTTTTTTTTTTTTAATTATGGGCTTTAGATTTTTCCTAGTTCAGATTTTGAGTCTGTACTGGGCAAAAGAAGATTGTGTGTAGGGGGTATTTTTGAGGAATTTTCTTTAGAACAACTTGTTAAGGCATCATTCAGTTATAGGTCAAGATTTTAATATATTTAATTACTGTAGATTCATGTTGACAGAATTATAAACCAAATAGGTATGGATTAATTCTAATCGCATGTTGTACAAATATTCTTATAGCTGGCATTCATTAAATTATTATTATTAGTTATAATAGTTACAGCCCACAAGGACAGTACTTGCATTTGAAATGTTAACGCTTTTGATTGTTTTCACATATGATGCACGTTAGCTACCCACGTTAGGGAGAAAATCTATGTTATTCTTTTTTATGTGGATAAAAACCAGCAGGAGGATTATGATTTGATGTTTATTGATATTTCATATTGAGTAGTTTTGATTAAGAATGGTTTAGGGGGCTACCCTGGTGGTGCAGTGGTTAAGAATCCTCCTGTCAATGCAGGGGACACAGGTTTGAGACCTGGTCCGGGAAGATCCCACATGCCATGGAGCATCTAAGCCCGTGTGCCACAACGACTGAGCCTGCGCTCTAGAGCCCACGAGCCACAACTACTGAGCCCGCATGCCACAACTACTGAAGCCCAGGCACCTAGAGCCTGTGCTCCGCAGCAATGAGAAGCCGGCGCACCACAACAAAGAGTAGCCCCTGCTTGCGGCAACTAGAGAAAGCCCACGCACAGCAACGAAGACCCAATGCAGGCAAAACTAAATTAAAAAAAAGAATTGGTTTAGGTAATTCCCTGGCGGCCCAGTGGTTAGTACTCTGTGCTTCCACTGCAGGGGGCCCAGGTTCAATCCCTGGTTGGGGAATTAAGATCCTGCAAGCTGCACGGCAAGGCCAAAAAAAGAAAAGAAAAGAAAAAAAAATTGGTTTAGGGAAATGGTGCTTTTTCATATATTTATCACTGAACTTAAAAGAAATGAGGGTCATCAAATGTATGAAAGGAAGGGCCAGACTGGACTTTTTTTTTTTTTAAGAGGAAAAGCAATATTTTTATTATGGTCTTAAATAACAAGACTGAGTTTTAGTAACCAGAACTGGTGGAATTGACTTGATGTGTCAGTTAGCTGATGAGAAAGGGAAAGTTGACAGAACATTGGTGAAGGCAATGATCGGGAAAAGAAAATCAGTTCTTATTTATACCTCACCAGTTGGGATTTCTCAGTAAGGTAGTTATAAGATGATATAGTGCGGGAATAAAGACGCAGACCTACTAGCGAATGGACTTGAGGACACGGGGAGGGGGAAGGGTAAGCTGGGACAAAGTGAGAGAGTGGCATGGACATATATACACTACCAAATGTAAAATAGATAGCTAGTGGGAAGCAGCCGCATAGCACAGGGAGATCAGCTCGGTGCTTTGTGACCACCTAGAGGGGTGGGATAGGGAGGGTGGGAGGGAGACACAAGAGGGAGGGGATGTGGGGATATATGTATATGTATAGCTGATTCACTTTGTTATAAAGCAGAAACTAACACACCATTGTAAAGCAATTATACTCCAATAAAGATGTTAAAAAAAAAAAGATGATCTAGTGAAACTGCTGAGGTTGTTTTTGATTTTGTTTGTTTGGTTGTTGTTGTTTTCCCAAGAGGAGCCTGATTTTTCAATAAGTAAAGCTGGGAAGAAGAAAGGGTTTTTTTTTTGGAGTAAGATGCTATTCTAAGAAAGACTACCAAGTAGAAATGATCATTAAGATAGTCAAGTAGAATATTTTGGCTTTTCTGCCTGCAAAATGAACCTGAGATAAAATTTACCAAGATGCTCTGCATTTCTAGTTTTCAAACATAAAATGAAATAATTAAGTTTTCTCAAATCTCAAACGAAATCCAAATGAGAAAAATAACCTCTGCTGGACCACATTGAAGACAGACATTATTACTCCTAAATTTAACTTCTTATAAAACATCGTCAGTTACCACCAAAAAATATTGGAGTACACAATAATTTAGAAAACATTTTAAAATTACCAAATATTATGACTTTAGAAAAAAATGTCAAGTTTAATTTTAATTGTAATCTCTCAGCATAACTGAATAATGAAAAACAATGTATTCTATCTACATCTGCTAACGTCATACCTTCCAAACCTATAGAGAACTTCTTATTCATTTATTTGTTTATTTTTGGCTGCATTGGGTTTTTGTTGCTGCATGTGGGCTTTCTCTAGTTGCAGTGAGCGGGGGCTACTCTTCGTTGTGGTGTGCAGTCTTCTCATTGCAGTGGCTTCTCGTTGCGGAGCACGGGCTCTAGGCTTGCGGGTTTCAGTAGTTGTGGCACGTGGGCTCAGTAGTTGTGGCACACAGGCTTAGTTGCTCCGTGGCATGTGGGATCTTCCCAGACCAGGCAGGGCTTCAACCCGTGTCCCCTGCATTGGCAGGCGGATTCTCAACCACTGCGCCACCAGGGAAGCCCTAGAGAACTTCTAATTAATGAGCTTAGTAGCAATTCAGTATTAATGAGCTGAAGAGTATGTCATTGTTCTCTCTGTCAGTTATCTGTTACTGCAATAATACTGTGTATTAAACAACTATAATAGCTCAGTAGCATGTAATAAACATTTCTTTTTGTTCACAAGTGTACAGATCAGCTGAGCACTTCTGATCTTGGCAGACTTGATTTGGCAGTTTTTTGGGTCTTGGTTGGAGTTCACTCATGTGTTTACAGGTCTGCTGGCGGGTGGCTGATCTAGGATGGCCGTGGCTTGGGTGACTCAGCTCTGCTCCACATGGTCTTGGAGCTTTCAGGAGACTAGCCTGGGATTTGTGGTAGTGGCACAGTTTCAAAAGAGAGAGCATGGAAGCATACAAGGCCTCCTGAGGCCGGCTTGGAACTGGTACATAACACTTCCACCATATTCTTTAGTCCAACTCAAGTCACAAACCCAACCCAGCTTCAAGGGCTGGGGAAGGAGACTCTTGATGAGAGTGGCTGCAAAATCACATTAAAAAGAGCATGTCTAGACGTTGGAGTAGAGAATTGGGGATACTTTTGCAATCAATCTACCGTATCACTTTTCATCTTTCTCCACCTGAATTGGCCAGATTTCTTTTCTTGGGCTGACTGTTTCATAGGCAGTCTAGCAAGAAAGAGATCCTGGGTCTCAGCACCTACTGAAATGGGCAGTGCAGGTAATCCGTTACACAGAAATATCTCTTCGAGAGAGAGGTCCTTTGGGAATTTCTGCCTATGGTTTGTTACCAAGAAGAAAAAGAAAATCATGTCAGAAAATTGGTTTTTATGTGACGAGAGAAACAAGTCAATTACGTAAGTAAAATTTGAAGTGTTTAACAGGGAAAAGTTAAATGTTGCCATTTAATTTTCTGTAGATCCTGAATAGCCACAGATATTTGAACCAAATACAATGCATTGTTATTTTTCCAGCCCTATTAGTAAAAATCTGAGATATTAGAGTGGGCAAAAAAAAATGTAGAGTTAGAGCTTCAGAGCATCAGAATACCTTGATTGACCAGGTTTCCCTGTGCTCCTCCCCGCTGATGAACTCACTGCTTTGGTAAAATGTCCACCTGGGAAGGGATAATGATGCTTCATGTGAATGTACCTGCTGATCTCAGAACAAATCATTCCTCATGGTTATGTGTGGGTTATCTTGGTATTCATAACATTTAGCACAGTGCCTTACATGGGCTAGGTATTCAATAAGTTATTTATTGCATTTGAAGTATGGGAATGTAGATTTTTTCCCCCCTTTTCTGTCTTTCCATTTCCAGAATTAGTGACTCACCTTTTTGGCAGCAACATCCAGGACAAGGATAGACAGAACTATTGGGTGTTGATAGACGTCCCAGACTCCTACTGTGGTCCTCGGCTGCAATTTCCTCTCACTTTTACTGATATTGATTTACTTATTGAGGCCTTCAAGCAACAACAGGCAAGTAGAAGCAGATACTGTCCTGATTCTTGTACATAACATGTGTTATCTGTTGAATGAATAGATGAAAATACTACAGCAGAAATGCATTCCCTTGGGAAAAAACTTCACATTAAGTGAGAGCTACCCTCTGCTTTGCTTAACCCATTAAATAAAAATCTCAGGTGCACAGAAACCTCCTCTCTATCTATAGGCTTACAGTATTTCCTTGTTCTTTTTCTGAGGTTTCATTCACATACTATAAAATTCACCATTTTAAAGTGTACGATTGATTCAGTGCTTTTTAGTACATTCACAAGATTGTGTAACAATCACTAATATCTAATTCCAGAACATTTTCTTCACCCCCAAAAGAAGTGCTGTACCCATTACCATTCCCTCCTCCCCCACTCCTGGCAACCACTGTTCTACTTTCTGTCTCTGTGGATTTGTCTCTTCTGGATATTTTGTACAAACGGAATCATGTAATATGTTTCCTTTTGTATGTGGCTTATTTCCCATAGCATAATGTTTTTAAGGTTCATTCATGCCATAGTATGTTTCATCACTCCTTTATTTTTATGGCTGACTAATATTCTATTATATGAGTATACCACATTTTTATCCATTCATCAGTGCATGAACATTTGGATTTTTTTTACCTTTTGGCTATTATGAGCAATGCTGCCATGAACATTTATGTGTAAGTTTTTATATGAACATATGTTTTCAATTCTATTGTTTCTATACCTAGGAGTGGAATTGCTGAGTCATATGGTGACTCAATGTTTAACATTTTGAGGAACTGCTGAATTGTTTTCCACAGTGGCTGCACCATTTTACATTACCACTAGTAATAGGTGAGGGTTCCAGTTTCTCCACATTTTTTGCCAACACTTGTTATTTTATGTTTTAAAATTTTTTTTAATTTTATTATAGCTATCCTAGTTGTGTGTAAAGTGGTATCTAATTGTGGTTCTCATATGCATTTCCCTAATGGCTAAGATGTTGAGCATCTTTTCATGCTTACTGGCCATTTGTACACATTCTTTGGAGAAATGTCTATTCAGATCCTTTGCCCACTTTAAAATCAGGTTATTTGTCTTTTTACTATTGAGTTGTAAGGGTTCTTTATATATTCTGGATACAAGTCCCTTATCAGATATACAATTTGCAAATATTTTCTCCCATTCTGTAGGTTGTCTTGTCACTTTCTTAATGTCTTTTGAGTCACAAAAGTTTCTAATTTTGATGACGTCCAATTTATCTCCTTTTTTCTTTTGTTGCTTGTGTTTTGGCAACATATCTAAGAATCCATTGCTAAATCCAAGGTCATGAAGATTTACCCCATGTTTTCTTTTAAGAATTTTATAGTTTTAGCTCTGACATTTAGCTCTATGAGCCATTTTCAGTTAACATCTCTATATGGTATGAGGTATGGGTCCAACTTCATTCTTTGCATGTGGATATGCAGTTTTCCCTATACCTTTTGTTGAAGAATCTGTTCTTTCCCCATTGAATGGTTTTGGTTCCTTTGTAAAAAATTAATAGGCCATAGCTGTCTGGATTTATTTCTGGACTCCCAGTTCTTTTCCATTGGTGTGTGTGTCTATCCTTATGCCAGTACCACACTGTCTTGATTACTGTAGCTTTGTGGTAAGTTTTGAAATCAGGAAGTGTCAATCCTTTGACTTTGTTATTCTTCTTCAATATTGTTTTGGCATTTAAGGTCCCTTGCAGTGAATTTGAAGATTGACTTTTCCATTTATGCAAAACCCACTGAGATTTTGGTAGGGGTTGCACTGAATCTGTAGATTGCTTTGGGTAGTATTGTCTTCTTGACAATATTAAGTCTTCTAATCCATGAACATGGGATGTTTTTCCATTTATTTGGGTCTTCTTTAATTTCCTTCAGCTATGCTTTATAATTTTATACTTTTCAGTGTACAAGTCTTTCACTACCTTAAATTTATTCCTAAGTATTTTATTCTTTTGGTTGCTATTATAAAACGAATTGCTTTCTTAATTCCCTTTTGAACTGTTCATTGCTGGTGTATAGAAACACAACTGATTTTTGTGGGTTGATCTTTTACTCTGCAACTTTGCTGAATTCATTTATTAGCTCTAATAGGTGTGTGTGTGTGTGTGTGTGTGTATTTTTTTGGATATTCTATATACAGGATCACATCATCTGTGAATAGAGTTTTACTTCTTCATTTCTGGTTTAGATGCCTTTTATTTCTTTTTCTTGCCTAACTGCTCTGGCTAGGATTTCCAGTATAATGTTGAATAGCAGTGGTGAGAGTGGACATGCTTTTCTTGTTCCTGATCTTAGGGAGAAAGCTTTTAATCTTTTCACCATTGAGTTTGATGTTAGTTATGGTTTTGTTTTGTTCTGTTTTTAATAAATGCTGTTTATCAAGTTGAGGAAGTGTCCATCTATTCCTAGTTTTCTGAGTGGCTTTATCATGAAAAGGTGTTGGAATTTGTCAAATACTTTTTCTGCATTAGTTGAGATGATGTTGTGCTTTTTCCCTTCATTATAGTAATGTTGTGTATTACATTGATTAGTTTTCTTATGTTGAACCACTCTTATATTCCTGGAATAAATCCCACTTGGTTATGGTATATAATTCTTTAGAAATTCTTTTGGATTTGGTTTGCTGGTATCTTGTCAAGGATTTTTGCATTTTATTTGTAAGGGATACTGGTCTGTATTTTCTTTTTGTGTGGTGTCTTTATCTGGCTTTGATATCAAGGTAATACTGTCCTCATGAAATGAGTTAGGAATTGCTTCCTTCTCTTCTATTTTTTAGAAGAGTTTGAGAAGGATTGGTGTTACTTCTTTAAACGTTTCATAGAGTTCACCAGTGAAACTGTCTGGTCTTGCACTTTTCTTTGTTAGGAAGTTTATGATTACTGATTCAATCTCTACGTGTTCTAGATCTGTTCAGATTTTCTATTTCTTCTTGAGTGTTTTGATAATGTGTGTCTTTCCAGGAATTTGTCCATTTCATCTAAGTTATCTAATTTGTTAGTATACAGTTGTTCGTAATATTCTCTTATAATTCTTTTTATTTCTTTGAGGTCAGTGGTAATGTCCCCATTTTCATTTCTGATTGTAGTTATTTGCATTTTCTCTCTTTTTTTTCTTGGCCAGTCTAGGTAAAATTTTGTCAATTTTGTAGCTCTTTTCAAAGAACCAACTTTTGGTTTTGTTGATTCTATTGGTTTTCTGTTCTCTATTTCATTTATCTGCACTCTAATCCCTATCTTCTTCCTTCTGCTGGCTTCCCGTTTAATTTGCTCTTCTTTTTCTAGCTCCTTAACTCATTACTGATGGGGGGATTTTTGTAGAAACTAATGCCTGTGGCTGGCGATTTTTATTTTGGCTGGCCAGAAAGTCAATTCTATTATTTCACTAACACTTTGCAGGTTATTACATTCAGTAGTTATATCTGACACACCTGAAAAGTCTTCTAATTTTTGTGAAGTGTTGTCTTCTATCCACTCTTCAGTAGAAGCAAAGGAGCATTCTCCAGCACCACGAGTTTCATTTTCACTTTCCATATCAGAATCAATCACTAAGGTTTTTTGTCTTTTTGTTGGTCTTATATTCACATCGTCTGAATCAGAACTATATTCTGAAGAGCTGTCATCTTCTGGACACTAGTATATATGTTGCTTGGACAGTCAGAGAAAGTTTCTGCATAAAGTTCACCGAACAGTTCTTCACTCAAAATTTCACAATGTGTCATTTTTGAAAATTTTACGTTTATAATATACACAAGGTTGGAACAAAAACCTAATGGAGCAAAATGTGAATGATAATGACAATCATAAGTTATATAATGAACGCTTGATCAATTTTAAGCTCTAACAACTTTGCATGGTGATGTTAATTGTATCACTCTCTAAAAACATATTGATATGTCTCTGGTCAATAATGTTCAGATAACAAAAGACGTATTAATGTGTCTCTGGTCAATAATGTGTTAAGCATTAAGTCAGGCTTTTCATTCGAGATCTTTCTTCTTTCTTAATGTAGGCATTTACAGCCATACATTGCTCATTGAGCATTGCTTTTACTGTATCCCATAAGTTTTGGTATGTTGTGTTTTAATTTTTGTTCATCTCAAAGTATTTTCTAATTTCCCTCGTGATTTCTTCAACATATTCAGGAGTATGTTGTTTAATTTCCACATATTTGTGAACTTTCCAGTTTTCCTTCTGCTATTGATTTCTAGTTTCATTCCACTGTGGTCAGAGAAGATACTTTGTATGATTCCAGTCTTTTAGAATGTATTGAGGCTTGTTTTGTAGCCTAACATCTGGTCTATCCTAGAGAATGTTCCATGTGCACTTGTAAAAAAATGTGTAGTCTGCTGTTTTGGGTGGAGTAGTCTATAGATGTCTCTTAGGTCTAGCTGGGTGTGAGGTCTCCAAAGTTTCTTTTCTTTTAGGCTGTGTTCACCTAGTGTTTCGACAGAGATTTCCTTGAACCCCAAGAGCCATTAAGAAAGAAAGAAAGAAAGAGAGAGAGAGAGAGAGAGAGAGAGAGAGAGAGGCAGGGAGAAGGGAGGGGGAGGGAGGGAGGAGGAAAGAAAGAGGGAGGGGGAAGAAAGAGGGAGAGGGAAAGAAAGAAGGGAAGGGAACAGAGGGGAAGGAAAGGGAAGAAAGGAAAATCTAGTCTTTGCCGATTGGCACTGTGTTGGTACACTCCTTTACTGCTTAGCCTGGCTGTTTACAAATCCATCTTAGCCTTTACTTTCTGCTTGCACTGTGCCATGTTTAAGTTGCCTCTTTCTTAATTCAGCATTGGTTGCTGTGAGCTTTGACTATTTTCCAGAGTTCTGACAAAGTTGGGTCTGACAGGTTTTTTTGTTTGTTTGATCTGGTTTTTTGGCTTGATTTTTCAGTGTTTCTGCAGAGGGATGGGATCTTGGAACTACCTACTTCATTATTTTCTGACATCACCCCAGCACCCTCATTCTCAGGTTAGGACCTTAAGGGTGTACCCTAGGAGTAAGAGTGAATGAGAAGTACTGGCTCTGTAGGGACTGAAGCAAAATTTTGAATCATCTAATTCCTGAAATTGAATTGATATCATCCTAGACAGCTAGTGCTCCTAGCCACCTGCCAAGAGAAAATTTCAACCATCTCTGTTAGAAAATAGGGCCTTAAATTATTTCTTCAAGTTTTCTTATATAGTATCCAGAACTTAACACAAATGTTAACCAGGCACAGGAGGATGCAAGATTCACAAAAGAAAACTGAGGCAAACAGCAAACAATGGAAACAAACCTATAGAGTTTTTAGATAATGGCATTATCAGACTCAGAGTTGAAAATAAATATGCCTAATATGCTCAAGGACATAAAAGCTATGGCAAAAATTCAAGGAGCTATAATAGAAAAGATAGACAATTTTGATTTTATAAAAATGAAAAAAATATGATGCTAAGGGAAGGATAAAAGGTTCAACATAGTGTACAGTGTGCTCCCATTTGTTAACAAAATAATAAGCATTATATATTTTGATTTTTAAAAATTGAGATAAAATTCACATCACATAAAATTGATTGTTTTAACCATTTTAAATAAAGTGTATGATTCATTGGTTTTTAGTATATTCACAATGTGGTGCAACCATCACCACTATCTAATTCCAGAACATTTTTATCATCCTCAAAACAAAACCCTGTACCTCATTCCCTCTTCTCCCTAGCCCCTGGCAAACACTAGTTTACTTTCTGTCCCTACAGATTTGCCTAATCTGTGCATTTTATATAAATGGAATCATATAATATGTGCCTTTTGTGTCTGGTGGCTTCTGCTTGGTATAATGTTTTCAAGGTTCATTCATGTTGTAGCATGTATCAGTCAGTACCTCATTACTATTTTTGGTCGAATAATATTCCTTTGTGTGAATATACCACATTTTATTTAAGGGATTATGTACTTATACATGTGTTTGCATATTCATATGTGGTTATATTGATATTTTAAAAATTTATTTTATTTATTTATCATTTTTGGCTGCGTTGGGTCTTCGTTGCTGCGTGAGGGCTTTTCTCTAGTTGCGGCGAGTAGGGGCTACTCTTCGTTGCAGTGCGCGGGCTTCTCACTGCAGCGGCTTCTCTTGTTGCAGAGCATGGGCTCTCGGTGCGAGGGCTTCAGTAGTTGTGGCATGCAGGCTTCAGTAGTTGTGGCTCGCGGGCTCTAGAGCACAGACTCAGTAGTTGTGGCACACGGGCTTAGTTGCTCTGTGGCATGTGGGATCTTCCCAGACCAGGGCTTGAACCCGTGTCCCCTGCATTGGCAGGTGGATTCCTAACCACTGTGCCACCAGGGAAGCCTGGTTATATTGATTTTTATATGCTTGCAAGTGCATAGAATATTTTTTGGAAAGATACTCAAGATACTCTTAACAGTGGCTGTTTGGGGGAATAGGGAAAGGAGACTGAAGTCTGGGGAAGAAGGAAAATTGCTTTTCATTATTATACTCCTTTTTGCTGTTTAAATTTTTATTTCAACTTTAGAAATGTGGGGCTTTTTTTCATTTAAAAACTAGTTACTGTTTTAAAAAGAAAATCCTTTAAAAGTAATATTTTCCTCCCTCAATGCCTTTAAAAGAATGTATTTTATTCAAGTTGCCATTTAATCTGAATATATTTGTAAACATAGAAATCAACTTCTGAGTTAACTCTTTTGAGTATTTAATATTGCTATAAACACGATTATAATGCTACTGAAAGAGAAGTAGACTGGCTTTGTAGGGACTAATAATACCAAAGAGATTTTAGCCAATTGAAAAAGGACCCAGAAAAAACATTTTCATAATAGGAATTTTCTGTTGTTGCAATATATCCTCAATGATTATTTGTTAATTTAACTTAATAAAACAACTGCCTTTTCAGACAGTAATTACTCTGATTAGCACTACAAATGGTCCAGAAAGTCTACAGTGGCAACTTAAGGTAAAACTGAAGCCAGTTTTGGGAATCAGTAAATTAAATATGGAAATTAAAATAAATCATTCTATCAGAGTGTTTTGCCTGTTCCTTTAAAATCTGGCTAAAGATTTGACTCACCGATTTAGAATGCTTTTGTGGGGAAAATCCTTAGCAATCCATTAGGTTTGGAGAGACAGGAAATGTGGGTTGCTCCCCACTAATTAACATCCAGGGGACCTTCTCTTTCCTCCTAATTCTCACATTGCTTCCAATCCTGCTTCCTGGTTTTTATTAAAAAAGTAAGTTTGGAGAATTTCATGATTAAATAATTTTAATAGGAAGTGGAAATGGAAAATAATTTCATTATTTTAATAGGAAGTGGAAATGGAAATTTCAGGACACCACGAGATAGGATTGTTCCATCTGTCCTGAATCCCATGCCCAAAGCGTTATCTGAACAATATGTAGATATGACCTCTCTCTCAGCCTCCGATAATCTAAACCAGTGCTGTCCAATAGGAATATAATGTGATCCACATACATAATTTAAAATCTTCTAGTAGTCAACATTATAAAGGCAAAAAGAAACAAGTGAAATTAATTTTAATAATGTATTTTATTTACTCCAACATATAAAATTATCATTTTAATATGTAATCATATTAAAAGTTTTTAATGAGATGTTTTACTTTTTTTTTTTCATACTGTCTTTAAAATCCAATGTGTATTTTGTGCTTACATGACATCTCAATTTTGACTGACCCCATTTCAAGTGGTCAATAGCCCCATGTGACCAGTGTCTACTGCATTGGACAGTACAGGCGCAGATACTCCTGACTAGAAAGTGGTGTTAGCATCTGTTAAATTTGTATCAGCTACATCACTTTTTGAATTATGTATTTGGAATAGTTCATAATTTAAAAAAAGAGAGAACAACACACTGTATTTAAAAACAAACAAACAGAAAAGCCTGGAAGAGAAAATCCAGTAAATCTGTCCAAAACAATGCTGTCATTAACACTGTAACTGGAGGCGATCAAGGAATGAATAGTCATGATAGGAGCTAATCTGAATGGTTTATTGAGTTGGCAATATGTTTTATACTTACACTTGTATATAAGTGTGCTTGCTGTCCTGTAAACTCATGTCTGTGCACCAAATATTGAGCCACACCTAGGACACCTGGCTCAGGAGTCCCTTGGGCCTGTCTGGCTGCCTTGTGAGACCTCCTAACCCAGTACCCCCATCTAATTCCCAGCCCCGGGGCAGGAGGTCGCAAGCAAATGCAAAGCAGCTCTTCTTGAACAATCTCCCTCTGCTTCTCTCTTCCTTTCTACTTCTCTCTCTTTTCCCTCCTTCTCTTTTCTTTACTTTTTTGACTGCACATTTCCTTAGGGCAAGGGAGTCTCCTTTTTTTCTTGTCACCTCTCTTGGGCTCTAAGGACCAAGAATAATAAGAAATGTTCTGTGAATGGGTGATGTCAATTAAGAACATGAGAATATAGACGTCCTAGGAACCATTCATTCATTCAACTTACACATCTCTAGTGAGGGCTTATTATGTGCCAGATATTGGGCTAGGATAATCTATTTAAAAATAATTTAGAGATTGTCATGAACTACAGCTACCTGAAACGTGCTCATATGTTCCACCTATATTGCTTTCTACACACTCATGCCTTTTCTCCTAGTTCATTATATCTATTTCCTCTCCTTCGCCCTCACAGATACTTCATGCTTATTATGTCTTAGAGGTGCTATTTGAAACCAAGAAGCTCCTGCAGCAAATGCCGAATTTCACTCACATAAAAACTTCTCCCTCCAAAGAGATAACAATCTGTGGTAAGTTTCAGAGCAGTGCTGCCAAATTAATATTTAGGAGCCTCTTGGTTCTACATCATTGGCCTAACTTGAAAACTGTGTAAATTGGACTGTGTTAAGGGAAAAGTGTTAATATAGAGTTTTCTATCATGATAGTACTGTTTCCTATCTTGTCTTTGTTTTGCATACCAGCTGGCAGGAATTAATTATGTGAGAAATTAAAGAACTCATAGCTTTTTATACAGGCAGGCAGCATTTTAATACAGAAAACCACCCATGGGTGGAATAAGTGTTCTTTGCCCTCCCTGTGGCTCTCATTATCTTCGTTCAATGTAGCTTTTTCTAGGTGGGCCTCTGCATGCCATTTATGCTGGGAAGAGAAAAGCCCAAGGCAGGGTGGAGACTAAATTCTTCTCTGCCCTCGGCTGCTGTTTTAGATTTTTCCAACTGGTCTCTGCAGCTTTTAGAAGAGTGGGAATGTCCCAGAAATCTGTTCCTTGTTCTTCTAAATAACAAGAGCTGAGATTTTGTTATCATATAGGCCAGTCTGACAGGATATTGCTTCAAGAAGCAGTACACATTGAAATTCAACACAGTTGGTGCTCAGCATGCTTGCAACTGACTGAGAATGGAGTGCGTGGAAGGAACAGCAATTCCCTTAACTTCTAATTAAGCCTTTAGTTTACAAAACAGTGATTGTTATTTTCCAAATCAATTTTTAGCCCATGTTTCTTTTACTCTGGCAGGTAGAATGGATTTGACAATCTAATTAAACTATTTCCATTCTACCATCTGATAGTGGTGACAGGGACTTGATGTAGCAGTACATGCTCCATGACATGTCCTGACTCAGGCTTTTGAAGAGTCCTTAATGGTTCAATTCCAACCTAATCAGGCCACCACATCTCTGCCTTCCAGATGATGCATCTCAGCAGTGGGGACCTTTTATTCAAGGCCTCATCAGCTCTTACTTTTCATGGAGATAAAGAATTTTGGGTCATGAGGCTCAGGAAGCGATGCCAACCCATGAAGCCTCTGGAGCCAAGGCGAGGTTTGCTCTCAGAGTGTATATAATAGGCCAAACAGAGAGTGTGATCTGCTCCCATATGTTTCCAGTATACCTCCAGTTGCCATTGCAGACTTAGCTTTGCATAAAAGGATCTGGAAGAAGACACGAATTAATTAGAGGGCATGTAAGTCCTGGAATCATGCAGTGTAATAACTGAGTGGTTCTTACAGAGACCATCTAGTCTATCCCTTGCTCTTACGGATGAAATTGAGGCCCAGAGAGAAAAGTGTATTGCCTTCCATGCATTTCTATGTAGTAACTTGTCCCCCTCTCTCCACCTCAGCTTACTCAGCTGGTTAGTGGCAGAGTCAGAATTAAAAATCAGATCCTCTGCATCCCAGGTTAGAGCCAACTCCGTATCTGCTATCCCAACTCCCATCATGCACTGCTCTGACTGATGTTTCATTTTCCATCATGAGACAAGGACCAGGGAATGGATTGATTGGACAGTTCCATTATTTTAAAGGTACCCACATCTTGGCAGGGCATTTATTTCCAGACTTTTTCCATGTAGCACCATTGATAGAAGGAAAAACCAAGGCCCGTAGGTTCCCATAGCATAGGAATTATTATTTTCTGTCTTTAATAGCCCCATTGAACTTAGAAAAATTTGGTCATCATTTAAAATAAAATTTAAAATCAGGGCCATATTTTCATAAACATCCTCTGTTTAAGACAGTATTAGGAAAGGGGGAGAAATTATGATGAACCTTTACCATTATTTTAATTTCCAGATGCATTTTTTTACATGCACATCTAAACATGCTACATAGTTCTCAACGTGCATGAAATATAGTAGGTGTTTTAGTTTATGTTGTAAATGATAACCAGTTATGCACTTATGTTTTTGTATGCAGTGGAAATATCTTTCTGTGGCTGTCTTTCCATGATACATTGTGTTTTATCTCTTGCTGTCCAACTAGAAGTTAAAAATATTTTTAGGGAGTTCCCTGGTGGTCCAGTGGCTAAGTGCTCCCAATGCAGGGGGCCCAGGTTTGATCCCTGGTCAGGGAACTAGGTCCCACATGCCTCAACTAAGAGTTTGCATGCCGCAACTAGAGACCCTGCATGCTGCAAGGAAGATCCCACACGCGGCAACGAAGATCCCACGTGCCGCAACTAAGACCTGGAGCAGCCTAATTAATTAATTAATTAAAAAATAATAAAGCAGCTTATGAAAAAATGAAAATAAAAATATTTGTATAGCCTCAACTCTTAATATGCTGAAACCAATTCATTTATTAGCATACCAGCTGCAACAGTTCTGACTACCCAAATCTTTGGGGTTTTTTGTTTTTTGCTTTTTTTTTAACTGGAACCAAAGTTGCTAATAGTAGCTTGTTTTATTGATATGAAGTGAAATACTTTGTCCATTAAGGCATTGCAGATATTCTAAAGCTCCCAATTAAACAAATTCTACAGAATACCTGACTCACAGCATTTTTATTATTATGCTTGTCTCCCTCTCAGAAATTCCTCCCTGCCATCAGAACTCATATTTTTCTGATGTGGCCTCAGAAGCACTAACCACACACAGATTTGGCAAACATATACATGCCTCTGCTCTGTCAGCCAGAAAGGCACCTTTATTCTCAATGGGGTACATAGGTGCCTCTCCTTTAAAGCAGCATAATGTAGCTGCTGAGTGAATGAGCTCATATTTTCTTAGCTAAAGTTGTTTTTTTGGGTTTTTTTTTAACCATCTTTATTGGAGTATCCTGAAGAAAATTAGGAAAACAAAATAATTAAAAATATATATTTAACTGATAAGTAAAGTCCTTCCATTTTTATTTCCTTAGATTTGGAGTGAGAGCAATGAGATTTAAGTATACAGTAGTATTAATATGGTCTTAATATTGTAGTCATTTTATAAATAAGTCTGGTGATGTAGGATTTTAATTTTATTATTCCCATTATAATTGGAGTCATCTCTTGTATATATTTGGTTAATTTTGGTTGTAGCATTTTAAGCAAACTGAGGAAAAGTATTCCTAAATTAAATTATATTTGGTAATTAAGTTGGATACAAGAAATAAAAATTTATGATCAGAGGTTATGAAAGTCAAATATTTACCTAGAAATAGTTATCCAAATAGGGCTTTTGAATATTCACATATTTACTCTTGTTTTTAAATTAATGGCTTCATCTATTTATATGGTTTCCCTTAGGTGGCTGAGTTTTATAAAGCCATGCTTTCATTTTTGTTTTCTCTAATAGTCTCATCAAGAGAATGTCAACTATCTACTCAAAATTTTTAAGTTTCAGATGCTACTGCTGGAGCATATTTTTGAAAATGTGGCTTTAAAAACCTTTGCATTTAGCAATTCAACTTAATTATTGAGTGCCTACTATGCAGCAGGTACTATGGGAGGCATTTGGGGTTATAATGCCAAGATAGATGATACTGCTGTTCTCCTAGAGATTACAGTGTAGATAGTACAGAGCAATCACTAAGAGCTTCAGTTTTTTGTGTGTGTTTTTTTTTGTGGTATGCGGGCCTTTCACTGTTGTGGCCTCTCCCGTTGCGGAGCACAGGCTCCGGACGCGCAGGCCCAGTGGCCATGGCTCACGGGCCCAGCCGCTCCGTGGCATGTGGGATCCTCCCGGTCTGGGGCACGAACCCGTGTCCCCTGCATCGGCAGGCGGACTCTCAACCGCTGTGCCACCAGGGAAGCCCAGAGCTTCACTTTTGAAGAGAGATAAAGTTGAGTTTGAATTCCAGCTCTGCTACTTGGTAGCTGGGCAACTTTGCATGTTGTAGTTTTTTATGTCAGGGCTGAAAGTAAGCTCATCACACGAGATGAATTGTGCAGAAGCACAGTAGTAGAGGGCTGCTGCTCGCTCAGGCAATACAGCGCCGTCTGTCCTGCAGTGGTGGCTTTTATTTAAGCATTATCTATGTTTACATCTTAAGACTTAGAATTTTATCATTTCAGAAATGCCAAAGCAGCAACATATGCTTTTATTGATTAGACAAGCAACAATGGGCTTTCTTGAAGACATGCCGTGCTTTATCCCTGAGCTCACAAGCAGCACAAGGACATCTCCTTGTGTTCCCATCATTCTGATTATACTGAGGTCATTTCATGGATCAGTGCCCAAAGTATCCAGGACTGCCTGCAGTTCTGGCTTATTTGCCAGCCCTCGGTTTGCCGAGGGGTTCTGGCCCATTCGCCAGCCCTCGGTTTGCCAAGGGGTTCTGGCCTATCCGCCAGCCCTCGGTTTGCCAAGGGGTTCTGGCTTATGGGTCACGTCTCCTTTCCATGTCCTCAGTTATTCCTCTACATTGCATAAGTTACTTAACTACTCCGAGCCTCATTCGTAAAATGAGTATGATGAAAACAATACCCATCTCATAGAGTGGTTGTAAGGATTGAACAAGATAATTCACGAAAACCCTTAGTCTAGCACTTGGCACAGAGTGAGCTAAGAACAGCATAAATGGCAGGCGTGAATAGGTAATTGCCACATTGGATGCTGTCCCCTATAGGAAAGGGGACAAAGTTTCCATAGAGTGCTATGGAAACAAATTGTCTGTTGAATTAATATTATCATAGCGTAAAAACCCGATGTCCCGAAAACACTTGGAGTATATCAGTAGCATTTCAGTTTTTAAATTCTGTTACGTATCTTTTCAAATTAGTTATTGTCTTTTCAGTTTTTAAATTCTTGTTCCTACTGAATAGCGATTTTTCATTTCATTTCCAGGTGATTTGCATGGGAAACTGGATGATCTTTTTTTGATCTACTCTAAGGTAAATGATTACTTTGCTAAATATTTATATTTTTGTTGGGGGAAGGCAGTCCTAGGACAAATAACAATATTAGTTTTATTAGGGATAGGTACAAATACAGATATAATAGGACAGTTTTTATCCAAGAAGTTGAAAGATTTGGTTTTTTTCACACGTTTCACAAAAAAATTTTGAAGATTTAATTTGGGTCTTTGTTTAATATTATTGTTATCTGTAGATCCATTAGGATTTGTACCTGATTGTATTTATGTTCTTTATTACATGACAAATGTCTAGATGGCAGACGAAGGGGAGGGAAACAGTCTGTTTTATTTTCTTGTTATTTGGTTCAGAAGTGAGCATGCCACAGCAGACTTCTCCTCTGTTGTGCACTAATGGTGCATGAAAGGAGTCCTCCATAGCAAGTTCCAAGCTGCTCTTCTCTTCTCCACCCTGATTCATCATTGCCAGGCTCAGCTGCTCTTCCTCTTTGTTGGTTGGGTTTTCTTTCTTTTTTTTTTTTTTTTTGCGGTACACGGGCCTCTCACTGTTGGGGCCCCTCCCGTTGCGGAGAACAGGCTCTGGACGCGCAGGCTCAGCGGCCATGGCTCACGGGCCCAGCCGCTCTGCGGCATGTGGGATCTTCCCGGACCGGGGCACGAACCCGTGTCCCCTGCACAGGCAGGCGGACTCTCAACCACTGCGCCACCAGGGAAGCCCTGTTGGTTGGGTTTTGTTTGAGGGAGCCCACACAGAGGGCACAAAGCAGCTTGGCCAGCATGGAGTTTCTCTGCATCTCTTTGATTGGATTCATTTCTTTCTCTGAGCCAGCAGTTGCAACCTAAATGTTTGCTTCTGGGATGATTGCATATAGAAAATTGATCCTGAGGTGACCTCTGCCTTCGCAGTTGTACCCCTTTGTCTCTCTTTTTGATTAACACATCATCCCCACAACTAGCGTGTTGAATAATTGGGCACAGCATATGCGTCTCAGATGGCCTGAAAGAGAATATATTCTGATTATTATGATGGGAAATCAATTTTACTCTTTGGGGACTGTGAGAGCTTGAGTAAGCCACATAACCTCCATGACCCTTAATTTCTTTTTTGGCTGCAATATTCTTTTTTCTTTTTTTCTTCTTTTTTTGGCGGTACACGGGCCTCTCACTGTTGTGGCCTCTCCCTTGCGGAGCACAGGCTCCAGACACGCAGACTCAGTGGCCATGGCTCACGGGCCCAGCCGCTCCGTGGCATGTGGAATCTTCCCGGACCAGGGCACGAACCCGTGTCCCCTGCATCGGCAGGCGGACCCCCAACCACTGCGCCACCAGGGAAGCCCTCTTTTTTCTTCTTTTTAAATAGTATTGACATATAGTTGATTTCCAATATTGTGTTAGTTTCAGGTGTACAGGAAAGTGATTTGGATATCCGAATCACTTTCCTGTACACCTGAAACTATGCTATACAGTAAATCCTTTTTATTTACCTATTTTATATATAGTAGTGTGTATCTGTTGATCCCATACTCCTAACTTATCTCTCCCCCCCACTTTCCCCTTTGGTAACCATAATTTTGTTTTCTATGTCTGTGAGCCTGGCTCTGTTTTGTAAACAAGTTCATTTATATTATTTTTTAGATTCCACATATAAGTGATATCATATGGTATTTGTCTTTCTCTTTCTGACTTACTTCACTTAGTATGATAATCTCTAGGTCCATCCATATTGCTGCAAATGGCATTATTTCTTTTTCTATGGCTGAGTAATATTCCATTGTGTGTGTGTGTGTGTGTGTATATATATATATACCACATCTTCTTTATCCATTCATCTGTCGATGGACACTTAGGTTACTTCCATATCTTGGCTATTGTGAATAGTGATGCTATGAACATTGGGGTGCACATATCTTTTCAAATTAGAGTTTTTGTCTTTTTCGGATATATGCCCAGGAGTGGGATTGCTGGATCATATGGTTACCATATTTTTAACTTTTTTTTTTTTGGCTGTGTTGGGTCTCCATTGCTGCGTGCAGGCTTTCTCTAGTTGTGGCGAGCGGGGGCTACTCTTCATTGCAGTGTGCGGACTTCTCATTGCGGTGGCTTCTCTTGTTATGGAGCACGGGCTCTAGGCACGTGGACTTCAGTAGTTGTGGTGCATGGGCTTCATTGCTCTGTGGCATGTGGGATCTTCCCAGAGCAGGGCTCAAACCCATGTCCCCTGCATTGGCAGGCGGGTTCTTAACCACTGTGCCACCTGGGAAGTCCCTATTTTTAACTTTTTAAGGAACCTTCATACGTTCTCCATAGTGGCTGATTTACACTAATTTACATTCCCACCAACAGTGTAGGAGGGTTCCCTTTTCTCCACACCCTCTCCAGCATTTATTATTTGTAGGCTTTTTGATGATGGCCATTCTGACTGGTGTGAGGTGATACCTCATTGTAGTTTTGACTTGCACTTCTCTAATAATTAGCGATGTTGAGCATCTTTTCTTGTGCCTGTTGGCCATCTGTATGTCTTTTGGATAAATGTCTATTTAGTTCTTCTTTGGCTGCAGTATTCTTGAGCTTCCACCCCATAAGAGGTTGTCTTGTGAATAAAATAACATAAATATCCAAAAGCATTTTTAAAAGTACTAAATTATAACAGAAATACAAGGTTTTCATTTCATTCATTCAGAATGCGAGCTTGGAAGGGAATGGAGGAAGCCAAACCAGGAGTGGATGAATGGAGCCAGCACTTAGGAAGAGATTCGGTTGAGACTGCAGGAGGCCTAAGCAAAGGTCTAGGGCCTGGTAGCCAGAGAGTGGGGTCAGGAGAAATAGAAGGCCATCCAGGTAGTGAGTTGGTGTCAGGAAGTCCAGCCAAAGGTTTGCCGGCAGGGAACTGAGGGTTCTGGTAAACAGGGCAATTCTGGAGATCAGCTACAGAATCCAGTCTGGGCAGGGAAGGAAGAGAGGCCAGGATGGCAACCAACTGGGAGAAATGGGTGGAATGAAGGATTGCCATGCTCTCTGAGGTCAGGGCAGGAGGCCCAGGAAGCAGGATGGCTGGGAAGTTGCAAGGGGAGTAGTCCTAGGGGATGAGTGAGTCCAAGGTGGAATTCAGAATGTGGGTGGCTGACGTGAGTGAAAGAGAATATTAGGGATGAGGAGGTCAAGCAAGTGGAAAGCAGGTGTGTTAAGTGGGTTGGCCACAGGACTGAGAGATGAGATGCAGAGGAAGGACGTTTAGTCAGAGCTCATGAGCCTGGGAGGAGAGGCTGGCAAAGTGTTAGTCTGTTGGTGGCTGTAAAGAGCAAGTGGACCCACCCCAACTCCTGACCCTGAGGTCCCCATCCTGTGGAAGAGTGGGTCCTTTCCTTCCAGAGGGCTGCAGGAGTCAGGAGTCTAGCACCATCCCGAAGGGAGGCCCAGATTTCCAGAGGGAAGTCTTTCTGAATGAGTTGAAGGCAAAAGGGAGTTTATTTATGCAGTTTGAGGAATGAGATTTGTTTAAGTCTACATAGCACCATATAAATGTGCAGAAGTACAGTCCTGCTATTTTTGACAATTACAATCTGAGGAAGGAGGAGGGGGTGGAGGTATGTGGGGAACAGCCACAACAGAAAATCTGATAATTATTTTTCTAGAGGTCTTGGAAAATACAAAAAAGGGAAAATAGTTGAGTAAATTAAATGGGAAAAGTGACTTCCTAGGCAATTAGAAAATTTCTCAAGAGGTAGTTGATGATATTAAGGTGCGATCAGGGAAGGGACTCTGGAGTAGATAGATGCAAAAAGAGAATGTTTCTTTAATTCCATTGGCAAAACTAAATGGAATATATAAAACTGGAAGGTGCTAATGTAAAGATTGAACAGGAGGAGGTGGGTGGTAAGAAGTACTATAAAAAGGACTAAAGGTAAAATTATAGCATTCACATGAAAGCAAGAAATATTTTGAGTGTTAACCAATGACGGTGTTCAGGAAGTGGAGATTGAGAGCCCAGCGATGAAAGAGTATGGAACTGTTTTTGGCCCCAAAGATATCACAGTTTAGTGGCGTAGGTCAACTAATGAAAAGACAAGACAGTTCAGGGTGAGACATGTTATAACTGGGGTAAACGAGTTTCCAAGGGAGCACACTGGAGGGGTATCTAAGTCGTGGGAGACTTCCTGGAGGAGGTGACATTTAAGACAATCCCTTCAAAGAGTTTTAGTAATTTAGTAAGTGCCTAAATCATGAAGGAAAGTTCTGAAGGATCAGAAAAGATTGTATTCCCACACCCTTTTTGTGGTGTGCTGCAATAAATGCTGGAATCCGTACCAGTGATCGTTTTTGATTGTTTTGACATTTTTGGTTTCTTTAATATTTGGTTTTCCTTACAAATTCTATCATTTAGCACCTTAAGACTAAGCTAGACAGTTTCAGCTCACAATCCTATCTGGGTTTGAAGGGAATTCTTTCCTCTGGGTTCCACACGGTTAACCATGGCACACCTTTCCTAAAAGGGCATGCCAACTTTATACGGCTTCAAATATCAAGTGAAGCAATTTACATGGCATTAGTTAGGTCATATTTTTAGACTTTATTTTCTGGAAAGGTTAATTTTAATCAGCCACTCTTGCTTAATTAGGGTGACCAATTTGGAATACTTCGTTCAGAGCCTTTTCCTCACTGACCAGAAAGATTGAAATTTTAGACCAAGTATTGGCAAGTTAGTTTGTTAAATTAATGCTGTGTGTGGAAACCTCCTACAGTTGAAAAAGAGCTGCACATGGACAGAGAGAAGCTAATTACCTCTCACCCCTGTGGGTGTCATACTGATGCTGTCCATGGAAGCCACGCAGCCCTGTTTTCCTTTTCTTTCTCTCTCTCCACCATCCTCCACCCCACCCCGCTATGCCCCAAATTTTCTGGCTGTGAAGGTCATTAAATATTTTCTTTTTTCTCTATTGCTGATATGCTTCCCACTGCCACAGTAGTCAATTCTTTACCTTTTGAGATTAAGGCAGTGTGTTATAATCAGAACAGATATCT